TCGTAGTAGAGATGTTGGTAGCTTTTTGTCTTCAATTGCATGATTATTATCATTTGTAGTGGAATTTGTATCATTTGAGCTTGGTGACGTTGATGTTACAGTATCCATTGTTGATGATAACCATGATGGAACTACTGGGTATTGTGTCAACAGTTCCTTAAATTTATTCCAGTCATTTGAACCTAAAAAGGACGGTTTTGTTTGATCATACCAGTCTTGCAGTTGTTGATCAAGATATCTATAAACAATTGTTGCCCAAATTTCTTCTTCATAATCCAATGTTGTGAAAACTGATTCTATAATTTCCATCCATTGATCAATTGTATTCAATTTTGAATGTTCTAGTACTGTGATCTTTTGTTGTTGTTCAATTTTCCATTGTTTGAAATTTTCAGGATTAGCCATTTTTAAATCAATTGTGTTGGTTGCAGAAGAATTTGTGAGAGTGTCTCGAAGAAGTTCAGATGATATAGTGGAATAAATTTCTTCTTCTTCTTGTTGATTTTGTGTTGATGTTGGAAAAGCTTGAGTCGCTTGCGTTTGAATACCTTTGAGTAAGGATTTTTGTCTACCAACAGTGGATTGTTCTTGTTTTGGACGATTGGAAAGATCTAATGATGGTTGACTATTGTTGTTTTTGTTACTTCGAAGATTGTACCGATGAGTTGTCATACCAAAACATGATGATGATGCTTTTTATCGATGAATTGTCAGGCCCCCACTTGTGAGACTCCAGGACCACCTCGAGATATTTGTCTAGTGGTTGATGTTATTGAGGTTGTATCCTGCGCACAAGAAAATAATGTGTTGAAATATAATTTATTTGAATGACTTGAACTGTTAAAAAGTGAACTTATATAGTAAAACAGAGAAAGAAACTGACAACAAAGTTTACAAGCGATATACAGGATATACAGCGATGGCTTCTCTTTTTCTTCTAGAGCGTTTATTATGTATAGTTCGAGGGTTCGATCCTTTATGTGTATGGTTCGATATGTATTGTTCGATATTGTATGGTTCGATATGCATTGTTTGATATTGTATGGTTCGATCTTCTATGTTTCCTTTGTCATGTATATAAGTTATATACATATACATATACATATATATATACAGATATATTCTTACTCCAAGTACTAGCGCTAATCAGTGACACCCTGCGCTAGGAGTTAACAGGAAGATACCGATCTAACTCCATATTATGTTTTATTTTTTATGTGGTATTTTCACTTTTCATCAGTCACTTTCAAACGCAACTGAGAAGAAAAGGTTAGAGAACGATCGAGTATACAAAGAGATGAGAAAATGAAAGATTCTGCTTTTCTTCTTTCTTGATAAATTCTTGACTTGAAGCGATTAGTGAATTAGTAGAAAAAGATTATACGGAGCAAAACGAGAGAGAAAATAAAATTTTTAATGTCTCAAAAAATGTCGGTTAATTTTGGGATTGTCAGGTCGCATAAAGTGATAAAAAATATATGAAAACTTACGGCATTATAGACAATTTGAAATACCTAAGAAAGTAACCTCAATGGTGGAACCGTTAGATATGTATATTTTGTATACGTATCTAGTGGTTTTGTCATATCAATATATTATTTTACTTAGTAAATATTTTATCAAAAGCTGAAGCCTCTATCGATTATCCGAACCACTTTTTAATTTTTGCCTTTTTTATCTGATTCACCTTCGCATTGCATGATCTTATGGCCATTGGTAGAGTAAAGTGTCCTAGTAAAAATTCTAAACGGGTTTGGAATTGAAAACTTCTATAGTAGAGTATATTATTTCAAACATATTACCCAATCGAGTATCTTGCCAAAGACCGGTCACGACTGAAAAATTGACATATACTTTTTATTTCATATTCTGATTCTACTATCAAAACTGGGATTCATGTCGATGTGGTACAGAGTCTTGTACGTTGGGAAGTTGTTGTGCTTGTTGGTACTGACAGAGACACAGCAGGTGTAGTGAGATTAACACGATTTGTTGTAATAACTTGTGATTTATTTGTTAACTTTCTAGATAGTATGGTTTATTCACATTCCAAATATTTGATCAATATACACTTCCAATTGTAACATTGCTGTTTAGTTATCGTTAATAAAGTATGCCCTCCACAGTGGGCATCCAGGCGGACATTAGGCGAAAAACTAAAGTCGCTCTTTTTTCAAATATGACTAGTGCAAAATGTAGCTCTTTCAATTCTCTATCGAATGGTGTATGGATGTCCGTTTCGATGTCG